AAACAACAACAACTCAGAACTGAACACAGTATTTGAAGTATGATTTGACCAATGCAAAACAAAAGTATTATTTCATTTGATTTGAAAACTATATTTGTAGCAATGCAGCCTAAATTGCGTTATATTTCTTGCAGTCATGACACTTTTCTAAACCTTGAGATCAACTACAGTTCCAAGTTCCTTTTCACATATACTTTTTCCAAACCAGGTATCACCATTTTGTTGCCTGTAGATTTGTTTTTGCAAAGAGAAAAAGTTTGTCCCTATTAAATGTAATTGTTATTTTCAGTCCAGTTCTGATGTATCAAGCACATTGTGAATTTTGTTTCTAACTTCTAGAAAGTTAGTCATCCCATCCAATTTTGTATCTCCAAATTTAATAAGCATTCTCTCTACTTCTTTGTCCAAATCATTAATGCAAATATTGAAGAGTAGTGAGCCCAGAACCAAATTCTTGGTATATTACTCAAAAACCTCATTTCAGTTTGATGAACATTTGTGAGCATTCTTTAGCATAGATTTCAAGCCATTCATGGATTCACCAAGTAAACATGCCTACTAGCACATATTTAACTAACTTGCTAATCAGGTTATCATAGAATACAAATGCTTTCCTGAAATCAAGATATATTATGGCCACCAAATTTGCAGTTTCTACTACAGTGCTTACCTGATCAAAAGTTACTTGTGATCTCATCACTTCCTATGTGAAAGGATAAATATTTGTATATTACACCAACTTTACAACTGTAATACTAGCATTTTCAGCTTCAGAGAATACACCTAAAGTTCCAGAAGCAATTGTATTTTACTAGACAAGAGGCTCACAGTCTTTATAAATACTTGTTATCAATAAATATATTTGAAAGGTAAATTTTAGATGGAATGGAACAAGGAGTTAGAGTTCCTTCCTTTTCTAAACAATAAGAAATTTAATTTATGTATCAGAAATTACAGTAGATCTTATACTCTGGAGTATTCAACAAAATATGTTTTAGACTAATGGAGCTCATTATGTTTGTATAAGGAAAGGAATGAATAAATCTCTTTGTTAGAAATTCAGTGAGACTTATGATTCATTAAATTATTATCTGTAGTGGTTAGGTTCTGGGAAGAAATAATTACATAATAATACGACTTTGAAGACAGGCCTTAATATTTCCTAGTGAGATGTGTGGTGACCCAGTTTGAAATATAAATAAATAAAAAATAAATATTTTCAAACTTTCACAATCTCTTGAACTATGTACCTATTATATGGAAGTTGACACTAGAAAAGGAAATAGATTCTCCATACCTTTTTTATTGCTAAGAAACTCGTCCTTCAACATTGGAAGGATGCATTTATTCAATTACACAGCATATTGAGGACCTGATGCTACTTGTGACTTATGAATGAGTTGTTTACAGATGTAGTTTTTGTATGAATGATTAAATATGGCCATCTTTTATT